CAAAAGACCTAAACTTAAAAAGTAGGACACCTGAGATGTCTGTCAGCTAATTAAGTAAGTGTCAGTTCTTCTGCTCACATCATCACGCTTCTGTCAGTCTTAAAAACGGCAATAAAACGATTCCACTAAAACAATGACACAGCAAGCGTGTCTGAGAGGTGAACAGCGTGGTTCAATCACTCGCTCACGTGGCGACATACACACGTACTCACACCTGGTGCCGCGTGGTAGTTCTCACCTTCTCGTTTGCTTATCTTGTGTATCTAAACCCGCGCCAGAGGGAATGTCTTCAGACATGAGCCCTTTGTTTCACTACCGTGTTACCTGATGTTACTGAACTTTTATCCTGCAGTTCCCCTTTGAAGCTCTGCTATAAACCACGCGAGCATTTCACGGGTAGTTTGTCCATAAACTAAGGGCATGTTCAACAATGAAAGAGGCCAGAGAATAAATGGGTAATGATTCCAATCATCTCTTTGAAAATTTACAGCAAAATAGTTCGTGAAGGAGAGTGTTGGAGTAGCACGTGGGGTTTACAGCTTTCTCAAATCATGGGCACACCACTATTGCTGCTGGAAAAGATGAGCGCAAGATTAACCTCGTAGAAGTTACCAAGGAGAACAGTTAGAACAGTGCTCGGGTTCTGAAGAAAGAGTTTTCTGTGGGTGGTAGCTAGAAGAGACAGAGATTTCAGGAACAGATCAGGAAATTAAAAAAGAAAAAAGAAAACAAAGATTTTCCAGACACACGCCATCTTCCTTCCCCCTCCAAATTTCGGAACACAGTCGTACGGGTCACGTCTCATTACAGTCAGCAATGCATGTACAACGAACAACACAATCCCCGTCACCATGTCATGAAGATAGCAACACAATACAAGCAATCAGCAACAGACAACAACAGCCGAAAAGTAATACTGCCACCTTGTTTGTTTGAGTAAAGAGGAGTACATCGGCATAACAACAGTCATTAAGTGCAGGGGAAAATGTAAGATAAAAAGAAGACAAAAAGGGAAAGAAAAGCGAAGTAGGACCTACCAGCGGCACCTTC